ACAAGAGGGTGCAAACCCCTGCACCTTGCCTTCTTCGGATTCTTGGCCACGATCGCCCATGCGCAATATAATTGCCCCAGAAAGTCGAAAAATCGACTTATTTCACACAACATTGCAGGATAATGACATCTTTGAACAATTTTCCTCGTACCCTCGAGCCCTCAGGATAATCGCTTACATGCTCAAGTTCATATAGCGACACAAAATTAAACTTAAGGGAGTACCCTCATTATATTCCTAAAGCGATACAGTGACGCACCTAGACTTACAAAAAGCAAAGGTCGCTCTTATCGCATCTACTCAAGCTCATTACTTCAGCCGAGAATTATCATTACTAAGAGAATCGAAGCCGATTTATAGAAAGAGCTCACTCTTAGTTCTAAATCCATTCATATACACGAAAGGTCTCCTTCGTGCGAATGGTCGACTTGCTAATTCAAGCCTAACGTATAACGAACGTAATACCATAGAGAAATCGCAAGATCTGCACTATGCATAAGCAGAAGAGGCGAACGCAGATTATGGCGGCACTTCCACCGGAACACTGTAACTTTGCTCTGCCTTTCACTATTACAGGTGTCGACTTTGCTGGGCCTTTTCAGATAAAGGCATTCATGTTAAGGTCTTCCACCCTCATTAAAGGCTATGTAGATGTCTTTGTCTGATGTACGAATCTGACTAAGGAGGCTTTTCTCGCGGCATTTGCTCGTTTCATCGGACGACGCGGCATCCTCTCAAAACTAATGAGCGATAACGGCAAAACAATCATTGGAGCCCAAAGAGCCGCCGAAAAACAGTTTGTGGAGTTTATTAAGCAAGTCTCACCTAAAATTGTTCAGAAGTATTCTCCCCAAGGCATTAATTGGCAAGTGCCCCCCAAGCGCTCCTCATATGGGGGGTTTTTGGGAATCAGCTGTAAAAAGCTTCAAATCTCACTTTAAAAAAGTAGCTTTAAATTACAAATTCAATTAAGATGAATTCACTACCTTATTAATTCGAATTGAAGCCGTTCTTAATTCACAGCCACTTACAACACTCTCGCAAGGTCCCTCTGACTACCCAGCTCTAACTCCAGGCCATTTTTTCAAAGGAGCATCCATTCTGGCCATACCTGAGCCAGGCATGGAGTCGCTATCCTTATTAAATCGATGGGAAAGAATCAAAATTCTCCATCATGACTTCAGCCGCCGATGGAAGGAAGAGTATATCAAGGACCTTTATAAAAGTTACCGATGGACTCCAGAAAAGGCGCCAAAGCTTGGGAACTGTGTCATCACACACTGTTTCGGTCGATAATATTCAATTTTTTGAATCTCTCGCGAGTTTTGAGCTTATGCTCTCCTATACATAGTCCGCATGACGTATTTTTATACTTTTCGGATGAGAACGATTGCGTTTTGAAGAAGCTTATATTTAAGTTGTGGTTGCTGCTGGCTTGAGGTCTATTTAAGCTTCGATTTAGGTCTTGTTGAACGGTTTTCGTTCTTATCATTTTTTTTTTTCTGTCCTTTCTGCGATTTCGTATTGGGTAATTAGAAAGTCTTTCATTTGTTGCCACGTGGGGCATTTTTTTCGAGATGAGAGCGATTGCTCCCACAAAAGTAACGACATTTTTGATAATGCGGCGGTGCATATGTTTATCAGTATTTTGTTTCTTTAGAATCGATAAACAATTTGAAACAATGGATTGTAGTCTTATAAATTCTTCACTTGTTTCTTTTTGAATTTTAGGCAAGTTCATTAATATCGTGACTTGCTTATCGAAAAACATTCATTCGTTTTCGTATCTTGATTTAAAAGCTTCCCACGCCAAGTTGAAATTGTCATCGTTTAATGCGAACTGTTTGACTATTATGCCTGCTTGATCTTTTGTTTTGTATCGGAGGTGAGAATTTTTTTGCATTTGATAATTTTTGGTGGGTTATGTAAACGGCTGTAAACATGTCTCGGAAGGACGGCCATTGTTCTTAACCACCATGAAATATTTCTGTCACATGCGGGCTCCTTGAGATGGATGCCTGAACTTCCCTCGTGACTTTGTACTTGTGGCAGCTCTACTCGCTGGATGCAATTGCTTTAATTAGTTTTAGTGGATCAGAAATCATTGCTTTAGTTTCTTCGAGCTTGTCTAAGCAGTTGTCATACTTGGCGTAAGCCGAGGACTTAAATTTTCTGGTAGATCTGGCGTCATATGAAGCTTGAAGACGTATCCAAAAATTGTCGAGATTTTCCTTTTTGATTTCTTAAGCCGATTCAGAATTATATTGAATCGAAAAAGATAAAAATCGAGTGCAGTCTTAATAAACTATCACTCTCAGCCGGATGTTTAAATACACGAATCTAAGCATTCATAGGCAATAACAATATGTATATATTTAGATATACATATCTATATATACATAATATATATTATATATTTATATTTATGTATATTATATGTATTATGTATTAAGCCAAACGGTTGTATTTGCGGTATTTCGGGTTTTACTGAAAAAATTAAACTGTTTGGCAACCGTTTTTTATTTGTGTTTGTTATTCAAACGGGTTTGACAATAAATATAAACCGTAATAAAAATAATAAATATACATATACCCTACAAAATAAAATACAAAACGGAATCGATACGACTCAATTGAATATCCGTCAAGGGAATTTGGGGACTATAGCTTGTGTACGTATGTAGGCGTCCTGTGGGTGTTTCCAAATCCTTTTCTGGGATGTTCCTCGGGTTTTTTTGTTGTTTGAACTTCGCGCGCGTTTTATGTAGCATTTAGTTCGCGCCCGTTTTCATTTCATTGTATTTTTTTCTTTCTTTTATTTTTCCGCGCCCGTTTTGTTTTTGTATATTTGTTGCTTCTTTTAGTCACTGCACTGCTAATTATACATATGCACCAAAAAAACGTACGTACATATATATATATTTTTTTTTTTTGTTGTCACTGCACTATTTTGTCTTCTGTTTTTTTTTGGCACCGCCCTGTATGTACCCAACGGCATGTATCTCTATTTGTATTTATTGTTTTTTTTTTCCAATGCAATCAACTTTGCTGTTGGGCTTCTCGCCACCACGCAGGTATGGTTTTATTTCTTTTTTATGTATATATATATATGTATATGTATGTATACACTGTTGAATCACTTTTGAACTTAATATTTTTGTATTTGTTTGTCACCAAATTTTGTTTTTACTTTAACACTTCATATGTTACAACTTTACTTTCTTTTTATGTTTAAAGTTTCAAGTTTTTCACCGTTATTATTATTATAATTTGTTTGCTTTCCACAATAGTGGCATTCAGAATGGCTCGAAGGACCATATGTTAACACCAGTAATTATTTGATGCAATCACTACGCGTGTTTTGCAACTGAGATCAAATTATTATCCGGAAAATGGTTTTTTCTTTAAAAAGTTCACAAAATTTTATTTTTTTTCTATAATTATATAAAGGTTATTTGAACAGAATTACTCCATGGTCGTATACCAGTGGAGACGTGGTATATAAAAAGAAAATACGCGGTGAGTCGCACGGCAAAGAAAAGTCCGCCAATGTGGGATGCTCGCCAGTCGATGTAAAAAGGAACCAGTCCGCTTCGAGAACAGATATTTTGTTCGTTGGGCTGTGTAGAGATCTTACTGTGTGTTTGTATGCAGCTACTTCCAATAGTGTTGCATTGGTGTGTGGTGTGTGGGTGTGGGTGTACTGCTGTTTCCAGTTGTGGAGTTTGTGCCAGTGTTGTCTTGTGAGTAGTGGGTTGTTGTTCTCTGCAGGGCGGGAAGCTTAGCTCATTTAGCCAAAGGTAATTTGGTACATAAGATGCTAGTCTGATGTCTGATATACAAGGTGCGTTCCAAAGTAAAAAGGTCTTTAAAAAAAAGACAGAACAAATGGTTTTATCGGCAAAATCAATTAATTTTATTCAAAATAGTCTCCTTCTGCTTTAATACAGCTTTTTGCACGGTCCAGAAGCATGTCGAACGAGTGTTTTAGCTCGTTGCCCGGTATGGCCGCAAGTAAGCCGGTGCAAGTCTTTTGAATGGCCTCCACGTCTGCATAACGCTTTCCTTTCATCGGCAAATTCATTTTTCTGAAAAGGTAGAAGTGGCACGGTGCCATATTAGGTGAATACGGGGAGTGGTTGATTGTTAAAATGTGATTTTTCTGTCGTTTCGTTTCGGGATCATATTGAAAACACCACATTTCGTCACCAGTCACAATCTTGTAAAGGAATTTCGGGTCTTTTTTGGCCTCTTTAATAATGTCCTTCGAATGTGGAATTCTGAGCAATTTTTGGTCGTTAGTCAATTTGTGCGGAACAACCGTGCATACACCTTTTATAAGCCCAAATGTTCGGTCAAAATGCGATAAATCGATGTTTTGAAGATGTTCAATTCTATTTCCACGATGATTTCGGCTGATTGAATTTATGAATTCACGCACAGTTTCGATGGAATTTGCGGTGATCACGGATTTTGGTTGGCGCACATGTTCATCGTCATTTATGTCCTCACGACCACTTTGAACACGTTGAAACCACTCGTGCACTCTGCTACGGGATAGGCAATCATCGCCATAAACTTGTTTCATCAATTGAAACGTTTCGGTAAAAGTTTTACCAATTTTAAAACAAAATTTAATGTTGGCCCTTTGTTCGAAGCTCATTTTCGCACCGATGACAAAAACATACGGACACTTAAAACGCAATAACTTCACTTCCAATAGATGAAATGTCATGAAATTTTTACTGGAAGTCGATAAAGGATAGCTGATTCTAACGCACTAGGCGAGATATAGATGGCGCCACTAGAGTTTACTTTGTTACTGTTTACTTTGGATCGCACCGTATCGTATTGTACATGTACGATTATATCTCACGTAAAAAATTATAAGAGGTTTTCATCGGCTCAGTTCATTAAGACTGTAATGATAATAGGCAGAAAATTTGATCCATCAGTTTTGTCTAAGTTTAAATAAGCTAGATTTCCAACTCATTTTGACTCTAGTTAGAGATTAAAAAGGTAATGAAATTATTATTATTTATGTACTTAAGAAATTAATTTTCACTTCACTCACCTTTGTAGGAACGAAACGAAGAGTTGGTTTACGCGGATGCTCGAAAGACGGTCAAATCACTTGCCAGTCGAATGCAAAAAAAGGAGTCGAATGCTACGGGTGCTCGGTTCGCTAGCGAAATCGGAATGCTAAAAAAGCGAAGCGGGATCCTTCTTTTGGTCCCTTATATATCTGTTGATGTCTTCATGGTGGTGTGATCGGTGTTAAGTTGTATTTGTGTGCGTGTTGGTGCATGGTGTAGTGATGTGGAATGTATGGTATGTAGGTGTGGAATGTGTGGTGTGAATTGGTGTAGTGTGACAGTGTCTTACGGTGAGGGGGGATTGAGTGGTCATTTAGCCAATTATTAGTATATATATATTTTTTCTTCAGACAATTGAGCAATTATAAAGCATTAGCGCTAAACCATCTATAAGCTCATATGTATTTACTTTAAAATATCTTTATTCACAAAAAATATAATAACGTGTTATAATCCGAACTTACCCAATTCATTTTAAAATGTCTTTTCAGTTATCGATAGTCAAAAAGCGATTAAATGGATACATTCATACATATGTACATATTCAGTTATGCGCATGGGCATTGAAAAATATCGGTAAGTGTTCATGTATAAATAAACACAAAATCAATTGGTACTGTTATCTCAAATTTGTGTTATGAGCAATATTAAAACACCAACATTCATGATTTAATTTTGAAAAGTGACCAGTGCAAGCCGATTTATCACCAAAGTTTTAAGTATTAAATAAAGAATTTTATTTATTCTCCTACACTATTTTTAAAATGAGTGTCGTTGGTAAACAACTTAATACCTTGTCAACAAATAATGATACCAATGGGAAAGATGTACGAGAAACAAGCGGTAAAACATCGATGCTGGGGCAGTTTATATCACCAAGTGATGTACTTAATTTAAATGAAATAACAGAAAACTACTTATGTTCTATCCATGACAACATCTACGATATTGATTTTACACGATTTAAAATACGTGACCTGGATTCAGGTGCAATATTATTTGAGATAGCTAAGCCAAATAATCGGTTTTCTCCTAGTTTGGAAGACAAATTGATTGAAGCGGCTGGAAGTATGTCCATTGATGATTCAGTAGATGCTAATGCTGGACGATATGTACGATACCAGTTTACTCCAGCTTTTCTCGGATTAAAAAATGTTGGTGCAACGTAAGTACCTATACACTCTTACATGTAATACATACATACATAGATACACATGCACAGCCTTAATTAATTTTTGTAGTATTGTTAAGCTGAATCGGAACGGAATGCAATCTCTTTCTGAATCTGAATACTATTATAATTTGTGAAAGGCGCACTAATTTAGCAGTATAGTATAGGAGTGAAAATAGCGGAGAGAAAATTTATAAATATAAGAATAATAAGAAATAGATTTATAGTATACCAAAATTATGGTACGGTTCGAGCCAGCCGTGGTGGTCATTTGTTCGAAATCATTTTTAAAATATAATGGTAAATTCTTATCTTTATAAAAAATATATGTGGGGATGGAACCTGTGCGTAAAATGTCCACATTTAACGACGACTCAGCTTTAAGACAGACGGACATTTTTAAAACCAAAACGAAGAGTTAAGTCAGTGCAGTGAAAAGTAGCGGCAGGAACCGGAAATTGAAGTAATTTCGAATATGTAGCTTATTCCATTATGTAGCTTATTCGAAATTACTTAAATTTCCGGTTCCTGCCGCTACTTTTCACTGCACTGACTTAACTCTTCGTTTTGGTTTTAAAAATGTCCGTCTGTCTTAAAGCTGAGTGTCTTAAATTTAAGGAACATGGAAATTGAAATAAGTCAAAATAATTAATTAAGTAAAATAGTGAAATTAACATAGATGTAAACAAACTGTAAATGGAAATAGGTGAAAATAATGACTTATATACATATTTATATATATTTAGGGTATTTACAAGGTGTCATATCGTCGTATTGTCTTATTTCTTGATGACTGTCATATCAACACTGTTGTTGTTTCCCATACAAAATTGAAATACGACAAATACAATACGACGAGGTATGTTTTTTGAGTGTGTTTTTCTATCAGCTGTATGTGTTTACTTTTTTTTATTGTTGACGTTTAAGTATCTAAAATTAATAAATAAAATAAATTTCACCAATTTCTTTAATAATATGGAAGGAAGCCACGATATTCAGGTAAATAAGTTGAAGAAAAGTAGATTATAAAAATAGTTGGTTGTTTCTGTGGTTGCAATGTGAATCAAAATGCCGCTGTTTCAACATAAAAAAGCTTTCATTTTTATTTTTGTCACTTTTCCGTGGCATTTTTGTATTCTTAATTTTTCATTACCAGCTGGTGAAGTGTAGAAATATTACATTATATGACATACAACAAATAGGGGGTGCTCACAAGTGTCGTATTTTTTAAGCTATTGAAATACGACATAAGACATAAGACGAAACTTGTGAATTGCCTAATTATATTATATATTACATACATATATAACAATTCTTTCTTCTAATCGTGGCAGTGATCCGACAAAACGCCATTAATCGAAAATGTATAAATTGCCAAAAGTAAACCGGAAATTAAGATACTGTAATTCGGTACAACGAATCGCATTAAGGACGGGGGTCCTCTGGGTTGATATCTTGAGAAAGTGGCCGTGAACCCGCCCCCTAATAGATTTAATGTATATCTCTCCCAAACCGTTCAACTATATCACCCAAATTTGCACAGGACAAATCCTTTCGACATCTCTTGCGACAGCGTCAAAATAGTTGAAATCGGATGGTAACCCTGTTCGCTCCCCATATAACGGTTTTGTTAAAAGCTACTAAAAAGTCGATAACAGAGATCAGAGACATTAAATTTTACATCTGAGATGGTGCAAAAGGGCTTTGTAGGAGCCGGCATCAAAATTTGACGAAGGGCGTAGAATCGCCCACTTTTAGTTGAAATCACATATCTCTAAGCCTACTCGACGAATTAGAGCCAAATTCGGTAGGTAACATTATTTTGACCTTCCTATGTTACAGTGAAAAAATGGGAGAAATCGGACAACAACAGTGGTGGATTCAGAATTTTTATCAAATTCCTCAAGCTACTGACCGTAAACAAAGCTGTGAAATTCTTATTATTTTATACTGAAGCAACATAAAAAGGAAAATAAGAACATGTTTTGTATAATCTGTATCACAATTTAATCATAAAAATGTATGTTGTCAAGTATGTTTTATTCATGAAGCACAACTTACTTTTCTACTTTGGTCGACAGTCTGAGGAAGATAAAGCAAAGAAACAATGTAGAAAAACGATATAACCCGATAAGAATAAAAACGTTCCCTATTTCAATTTTATTTAATATGTGAATATCTTGTATTGTAAAATAAAAAAAAAAATTAACGATTTTTATTAATACGAAAAATGTATATTAGGGGAATTATTCGTATAATATTAGATATACTGTGGTTTAATAACGAAAATACATATGTTAAATTATATTACACTTACATATCTATAAATATATCATTTAATGTGCGATTTATTTATTTATAAAATTGCTTGACTAGTTTTCCTAAAAATTACAAAATTATGGTTGAATATGAATGGAGTTGGTTGGACCTTGTAATCCATTCACGATTTCATCGAATTATGAATGTTGAATTCTTTCGCAAAATTTTTTAATATAAAGTATTGCCAACACCTGAAGGTATTTCCGCGGCTTTGATCCTTGCAAGGTGTGAGAGTATAAAATGTTTGATTACACCCAAACTTAGCTCTTTCTTACTTATTTTTTACTATCCATTTCGATGTTCCCTACTTTTTTAGAGAAAAAAAACACAGAAAATTCAAATTAGTAGGGAATGTTTATTATCATTCGAAAGAACATTCCTTAGTATTTATTTTTTATAGATTATCTCTTTCAAATGTTGGCCGCGGCTATGTCTCAGATGGCCCATCCATTGAGTCCAATTTTCTATGACTCGTTCGAGCATTTTTACTGGTAAATGACGAATAACACACGTGATGCTTTCACCAAGGCCTGAATCGAAGCGGAATTGTCCGCAAAGACTTTAAACTTGACCTATTCCCACATCAAAAGTCTAACGGTATGATATCACCCGATCTTGGTGGCCAATCAACCGGCCCAAAACGTGAAGTTATCTGCTCACCGAAGTGTTCTCTCAATAAATCCATTGATTGATCGCCGAGATCACGAGCTTCAATTTCAGGCATCAAATAGTCGGTTATTATGGCGAAATAACGGTCCCCATTGACGGTTACGTTCTCACCGGTATCATTTTTGAAGAAATATATAGACCGATGATTCCACCTGCCCACAAACCACACCAACCGTTGTTTTTTCTAGATGAAATGGCAGCTCTTGAATCTTTTCAGGTTGCTCTTCGTCTCAAATGCGGTAGTTTTAGTTATTTACATACAACTTAAACCAGAAATGGGCCTAATCGTTGAACAAAATAGTGCTCAAAACGGTGGATTTTCTTGCGATGTCGCATGGGAATTTCGAGCGGCTTCAGTTATTGCACAAGCTGTATTTTGTACGCTTTCAATTTAAGATCTCGGCGTAAAATACGCCAAGTCGTTCCATACGTCAGTCCGAGTTGTTGCGAATGGCGCCGAAACGACTCTCCACGATCTTCGTGTACACTCTCAGCTACGGCCGCAATAATTTCTTCATTGCGTGCTGGACGTGATCTATTCGGTCGAATGTTATTCAATAATAAATGCTGGGTCTCAAGATGGGTGATGGTGTTGGAAATGTTGCCCATAAGTTAATTCTTTACAGAACGTGAATTTTCGTAACTAAGCGATTTGTAAACGTTATTCAGGCATAAGTATTTTCCATGATCAAATGACAAACACTACTGAACGAAAATAGCAAACTTCGATCACCCGTTATAATGCCAAAGACCCGTGTAGCAACTTTCATAAAGATATCTTAACTTCACTTTAATTGTTGCTATTATTATCCTACCCGGTGCCATTTTCAGAAGAACAAAAAAATACGTCGACAAAAAAATACGTACACTCTCAGCTACGGCCGCAATAATTTCTTCATTGCGTGCTGGACGTGATCTATTCGGTCGAATGTTATTCAATAATAAATGCTGGGTCTCAAGATGGGTGATGGTGTTGGGAATCTTGCCCATAAGTTAATTCTTTACAGAACGTGAATTTTCGTAACTAAGCGATTGGTAAACGTTATTCAGGCATAAGTCTTTTCCATGATCAAATGACAAACACTACTGAACGAAAATAGCAAACTTCGATCACCCGTTATAATGCCAAAGACCCGTGTAGCAACTTTCATAAAGATATCTTAACTTCACTTTAATTGTCGCTATTATTATCTTACCCGGTGCCATTCTCAGAAGAACAAAACAATACGTCGACTCAAAACCATATTTCTACTGAACCAACAACAAAGCAATATTTGCTGTAGCTAAGTGAATGCAAGTCAATGTCTGCTTGTGCTGAATGAATGACGATTATTCCGTTAGTTTCAAGTGAGTTACTGTTGTAAAAAATGCTGTTTGTTTTAAAAGATGTTTTTTGAAGCCAAACGGAGCCACTTCATGTTGTGGAGAACCAAACGGAGCCAAGCGAGCGATAGCGTGGGCAACCCTGACCTGTATCTATTTTTATTAGCTTTAGGTATTACAAACAAACTTTTGGTGAACAAAACTATTAATGTGTATATTTCAAATCAGTAAAAGTAGCTTCAACTTGAAAGAACAGGAACTAAGATAATTGTTATGCATACATAAGTTAATTAAGTTATTTAAAGTTTTCCTCTTAAATTTCAGAGTTGAATTTACCGTTGGTGGTAAACCTGTTAATAAATTTCGGATGATTGAACGACACTTCTTTCGGGATCGGCTATTAAAAACATTTGACTTTGAATTTGGATATTGCATTCCCTACTCAAGAAACTCTTGTGAACATATTTACGAGTTTCCTAATCTACCCTCTGAACTAGGTAATGTATTCAATCCTATAAGAATAATTCATTGTTCAATATAAAAATATTGAGATATGTAACATATTTTTCTGTATAGTTTCAGAAATGATCGCTTGCCCGTTTGAAACTCGTTCAGATAGCTTCTATTTTGTCGAAAATCGTCTCATTATGCATAACAAAGCCGATTATGCCTACGATGGGGGTTTGCTTTTATAAATGCATTGAAAAAATTGTAATCAATTCTCACCAGAAGCCACACAAGCCTTATTATTATTATTGTCGTATAATCAAAAGTTAATTTATGTATAAGAAGTTAAAGCTAATAAACATATTTCAATTGCGGTTTATTTATTATTTATGTATGAGTGCATTTCACTTCTTTAGAGAATTTGTATGCAAATTTGTATTTTTGATATATTAAGAAAATATTATTCTTTACATTCAGAATCATTTTCAAAAATATAATATGATTGGTATGACATAAAATTATTTTGTAATAAACGAAATAAAGATTAACAAAATTATAACGTTTAATTATAAGGAGCTTTCAAAGTGTTCAACACGTCCGTGCCAAATGCTAAATATTCCGCGCAGTGAAATTATTGAAGTCACTAACCCGAGTTCTAAACCTGACAATGTTAAGAATAATGTGGTCCATGAAAGTTATGCAAATGTGGTAAAAGGCAGCCCTGTACAAATGCAACTGCCTCAAAATTAAAAACAAACCAAACTTAGAATAACGAGAAGGATATATTGGATATCCATATTTGCTCTATGGAGTTCCAAAATCAGAGGATTATAAGCGTTTATTAAACGATCCTGTAATTTTATTTTTAGAAAAATTTTGGGTTTTGTTAAACTAGACATAAGGGCTAACAAATAGTCATCAAAAGACATAATTATTCTACTATCAGACAGGAAATGTTCAAAATCGTTTAAATTAGAAATGTCTTCTGTAGTCATATTTGAATTTAAAACATTTTGAATTTTGAAAAAGTTTTCCTTATGCGGGGAATCTCTCTGTTGACACTCCACTCCAATAGAAATTTGTGACACAATGCGTTAGCTTTAAAACGCTTAAGAATTTGTCGATAGCGGTAGGCAAAATATCTAGCACAAGTAACCGCGTCTGACCGAAATAAGCGATATCTATCTTGGGTTGTTAAATTGTTGGCTTCCTCTTCCGAAATATCTATATATACAGTTCTAGAGAGGATGACCAAAAGCTCAACGCACTAAGATTTTGCAGCCGCTAAAGTGATAAAGAAGGCTGGAAGCCCAAATTGGCGAATCATAGCGATTGCCTTTTTCTTCGCAGCTTCCTAGTGCGCAGGAGAGGATCTTACGCCTACCATCATCGTGTTGAACAAAGTTTTCGTTTAATAGATTTTGGGCCGTAACTCGGTTGCGGTCTGAAAACTTTCTAAGGGAAATGGATGTACTATTCTTAATTTGTAACTGTTCTAATCTTTTGTAATCATAGAACAACTTTGGAATAGTACACGCTCTTCTATCAAAACGGCGAATTTCAGAACGTATTATTTTGCTATACGCTTCAGAGCATGTACGCTTCTGCCCAACGTATATTGTTCCAAATGACAACTCTTTTGAATTATTATCTTGAATTATGTGAATTGGTCTTTGTCCTTCACCTGACGCTATAACTAAACGGTTAAGTCTAAGTTTTCTACAGGAATATTGTTTAAAAGAGTTTCTTGACCGCCTGGATTTAGCCCTGAAGGTAAAAGAATATTATTACCTGAGGGATTATCATGAGAAGTTTGTGCCGCATGAAAAGATTGAACCAATCGGGAATCCTCTGCAGATGCAACAAACGGAACTTCTTCTTGGTTATTAAATTCTGAAATCCAGTTTTCCTTAATATGTATATTGTGTTCACGATACAGAGGGGTATTCACTAAGAACTGCAAGCTTCCACGGGGCTTATGGTATCGATCATGTAATCATGATTGTATTCCAAACTCCTTCTTAAGTGAATTTGTATAACATGAGCCTCATCAAAGGACCTTGGTAGAGATGTCACAATATTGTTAACAGAAATTGGTATATTGCCTTTGAGCAAACTCTGACCTTGATATCCTAACGGACGGATTGTCATAAAAGGCAATCTAGGCATTATGAGACGTTCTTCAATTGGGGTCAAACCTTTCAAACAATCCGGTATTTCAGTAGTCCGCCACAGCAAATACATTTTTCAGTAGGGCCCTTATTTATATTTTGGAAATAAATGTTTTTGAAATCTGTTAAATTGCCACTATTATCAGTTTCTATAACATTATTTTCTTTCGTTAATCGGATTCGTTGGGACTGCCTTTGGTTTTCAATTTGCCTATTGAGTGCGTTATCTCTATGAAGGCGAACTTGACCTTGCCTAAGACGTCTCTGATTCAAAATTTCTTCCCTCCTACCCCTCCTACTAAGCTGTCGACGTTGTGTTTCTCTATCACGCTCCTCTCTCCTTATTTCAGGATTTCTTCTTGCATGTTCCCCTTGCATTTGATCCCGAATGCGCTCTAAAGTCCTATACTAAGGATTTCTTGCGCGAAGTTCTTTATGATCCCTAGTGTTCCTACTTTGTTCATCATAACGTACCTCGGGATTTTCTCGATGAGATCTATGATCTTCAGAGCGAATTTAGGGATCTTGCCGCCTTGTTCTATGTTGAACAGTATTTAAAACTTGCTCAACAGATCAAACCTCGAGATCTTCACACCGAGATCTATGACCTCGAGTATTTCGTATTTGCTCTTCAGAGCGAATTTGTGGATCTTACCGCCTTGTTCTATTTGAACAGTATTTAAAACTTGCTCAACAGATCAAACCTCGAGATTTTCGCGCCGAAATCTATGTCCCCGAGTATTTCTGCTTTGCTCTTCAGAGCGGATTTGGGGATTTAGACGCCCTATGTTGAACAGTATTTAAATTTTGTTCAAAAGACCGTACCTCGAGATTTTCCCGCCTGGTTCTATGTTGATTTGTATTGATAATTTGTTCGGACAGACGTACATCAGAATCTAACCTACGATTAGCGTGACTTACAGTATTTTGTGACTGCTCACAATCACTATATAAAGAGATTGCACGAAGAACTTTCATACGTCTTCTATTCTGAAGACGACTTAGTAATACAGATTTTCTACTTAATCTAGGCATAGTTAATTAATAATAAATGAATTAATGTATAAAATACTTACAGATAATACTTTTATAATTCAGTCCGTCCGGATGTAAAAAGTTAGATCCTAGGTGCTGCTCTCTTTCACTGTAATTCCTTGTAAGTCCTTGCTATGACTTCTTTCCTGTTCGGTGTATAGGTACTATGGTATACTGGTCCACATAGGTATATGTGTTTGCTCGCTACTGTATTTAATACGGTTTTGCTCGCCACTATAAATAATAATACTTTAAACACTATATAACTAATACACTAAAATTTGTTTGAATAAAGCACTTTGCTGGTAAAGAAATCTAGGGTAACTGAAACTACAAACACAGTGTACTGATATTTATTATACTTTTGCAACATATTGCTATAGGGTATAATAGTTTTGTGATCGTATATTTTTGTACACACAGCTTACGTACTTATGTATACCTATATATTACTTAGATATTCACCATCATAAAATACATAATATTTAGTTATATTTATATTTTAGAAATTAATAATAATAATTCTTCTTTCTGTCTTAATATCTGAACCTTTCATAAGCTGCCAACGGCGCTGGGTAAAAATGTAATTTTCTTGAGTTTAAAGTTCACCTCATGACCTTCATATTAAAATGTGACGTAAAACTGAAATAATAGACAGTAGCATTTAAACCGATAGGGTTATCTATAGCCACATAAAAAGGGTCTTTAGCCTTTTTGATACTACACTACTAATATTTATTTCATGCGATTTTTTCTAGAAAGAGATTTTTGCTCTATACAAAGCCCAGCACTCTAAGAAACTTTCTTACATTGTTGTCTGGTATATTTTGTAATAAGTTCAACCTGATTGCTGAGAAAATATACCTATCCACTGATTATCACCAAATATTAGAAGAAATATATGTATATAGAAATCTATATCTACCTCGATTAGTTTTAGGTGATGCAAACAACAGTTTGGTGAACAAAACTATACTCCGTTGCAACATGTTGCGAAAGTATAAAAATGTTGCGAAAGAATTCAAAATTCATTATTCGATTATTATTTGGTATCTTATTAACTTATGTTATTTATCATAGATTTATTTAGTGTCAATATTATTTTTTTCTCCGAAATGTTAACTTTAATAAAAAGAAGCTATTCATCTCAAACGTAATATATGTGATACCAAACCAAAGGGGTTAGATTTAATATGTGGGGTATATGAGGTTGCTGTTGTACCAAACGAGCGGAAATCAGTATATTAGGGTTATAAGGTTTAAACAAAGACCAATATCATTAATATGCAGCGATATACCACGTTATTTTTAAGAAAAACTGTCCATTTAAATTCATTAAATTATCAAATTAACGAAAAAAAATTATACCATAAGTAGCATATGTGAGCTGGAAGATTCATGCACAGATTTCGCCAAACGGAAGTTTTAATTTTTTACATAAAATATGTTGGAGATAGATTCAAAGGTCAGGAAATTCCTTCAAATCTTATATTAAAATAATATTGAGAAAGTATTAAACATGCATTATTAAATGAAATAGTGATTTAATTACAATGAAATTTGGTATATTATTAACTTAAAAGGCCATAATAGTCCAGTCATTTAAGCTTAAATTAGGTAAGAATCTCGGAATTCAGATACCCAGCTGTAAGTCTGTAAATACTTGTATATTGACACCCTAAAAGTTGTCTCAAAACCTACATATGGTAGGGTGTACGCAACTATTAAATTTCAAGGTCAAAGGTCACAAAAATCGGTTTTCTGCGCTTTTTTTGTAAATATCTCATTTCCTATGGGTTTTTTGCTATTGGTATTTATTATCAATATTGTAGAATACAAAATTCTCTACAAATTTTGTTTAAAATTTTTTTTTCATACGGTGAACCGTTTTTGAGATAGAGGGCTTAGAGCGCGCGGTCACAGCATCACTTCAGGTCAACCGGTGCCTCCGATCAAAAACGCGCCATATATAGTTGATGAACTATCGATAAATCAATGATTATAAATATTTGTCAATTTTTATTAACTATTATATTATATTTTATCATTTGCCTTATGCCTTAAATCTTTATCTATTCAATAATACTGATCACCGTTTCCTAAAATTAAAAAATAATGAAGGGAAAAACTTAAATCTTACTATAATTATATTCCCATTAACACTAATGACAT